CATGATGTGGGCCCCACTGCCACTGTGGTTCCCACCCCAGCAGGCCTAGCTGGCTCCACGGATCCTTTCACCACTTTCCAGGCATTACAGCCTATTTGCTGTTTTGGTTTGGTTTTCCCTCTTGCCGCCCCTTCTCTGTCCCCAGCGCGTCCCTCCCTTGGCCTTGGCTGCTGGGGCTCAGCTGGGCGGGGGTCCAGGGCTAACGTCAGCGGGGTGGTGCTGGGGTGGGATAGTCCGGGGGGAGCAGGAGCAGGAGCTGGAGCTGGTGCCTCCTTCCTTCCTTCCCGGCGTAGGAGCCGGGATGTCTTGGCTGCACACCCTCCGGAGGCCGGCTGCCGTCGGGGCATAAGCGGCAGCACAAGGTCAGCCGCCGGCATTGCCTGCGGCGCTGGAAACTTGGCGGGCGCAGTCCTGGCTGCTCCAGCAGCGACAGGGCAGGATGGGACCAGGATGGGCTGCAACCTGACCTCCTGCCCAGCACCATTGTCCTGTGCTGCCTTCCCCTTCCTACACCCGTGCAGTCACCAGGATGAGCTGCCAGCACCGTCCTTCACTCAGGACATCCCCGTCCCAGGGAGAGTGGGACCCCCCAAGACTCTCCAAGCCTTGGTGTTTGCAGGGAGGGCATGTCACCCCACAGACAGAGCGTCCCTGGGGCAAAGGGCTATGGCATTGGGGTGCAGGACCCTGCCCAACCTTGACTGTCCCCCCACTACCCCCTCAGTGAAGTTCATGCGGGAGGTGACCCCCTACATCAAGAAGCCATCGCTGGTGTCGGACCTGCCATGGGAGGGGGTGGCCCCACAGTCCCCCAGCCTGAGTGGCAGTGAGGACTCGGGATCTCCCCAGCATCAGGGGCCCCGTGACCGCAAGGTGATTCCCCTCAAGATGTGCTTTGCTGCCCGGAACCTCAGCATGCCTGACCTGGAGAACAGGTGAGGGCAGGGGCTGCTGGTGGGTGCTGGTGTGCCGATATCCCACCCCGCCCCATGTCCCGATATCCTACCCCGTTTCCTGTCCCCGTCCCCTCACAGACTGATTGAGCTGCACTCACCGGACAGCCGGAACACACTGGTGCTGCGGTGCCGGGACACGGCCACGGCCCACGCCTGGTTCAGCGCCCTGCACGCCAACATCACTGCGCTGCTGCCACAGGTCCTGGCCGAGCTCAATGCCACACTGCGCTCCGGCAGCCCCACGGCCAGCGGCCAGGAGGTGAAACACATTGCCTGGCTGGCTGAGCAGGTACATGCCAACGGGGTGTGCTGGGATGCTCCTGGGGATGGCAGTGCCAAAAGGGTGTGCCGACGATTCACTGGGGCTATGGATGCAGCCGGAGAGCCCAGCCTGGCCACCAGCTCTACCACTCTCCCTTCTGCGCCCTAGTAATAGCAGTGCTTCCCATGCTCTAAGCCCCCTCTCCCACTGGGGTTTCCTAGCTGGAGACGCTCATCATACCCTCCCTTTTCCATGAATTCGCTGCCTGATAGCTGCAGCTGGCCCAGGCATGGTGGTGAGCAGGACCCCTGGGGGCTGCTCCTGGCATGGTTTGCTGGGATAGAATCATAGATGATAGAGGATGGCAGCACCTTGGGTGCTGCTGAGATCCTGCCAATGTGGAGCCTCTGGGTTGGGATCCATCCAGCCATGAGTGCAGAGATTGGGGTGCTGGGCAGTGGTGGACACCTGCAGCTCCTGGTGCCCCTCACAGTGCCCTCATGCCTGGCAGGCACGGCTGGACGGCGGCCGGCAGCAGTGGCGGCCGGTGCTCATGGCAGTGACAGAGAAGGACCTGCTGCTATACGACGGGATGCCCTGGACCAGGGATGCCTGGGCCTCCCCCTGTCACAGCTACCCACTGGTGGCCACCAGGTGAGCTGGGCTGGACCCCCTTGGGGACCAGTGCCCCTCGGCTGAGCCGTGGCTCTGCCTCTTGGAGCAGGGGGAAATGCCAAAGCTCAGATGGGCATGGGGTGCCATGGTGCTGGCACTGCCATGGCACCCCTGACCCCCCCATCCATCTGTGTCCCACCCTCCAGGCTGGTCCACTCAGGCTCCGGGCGCCGCTCGCCTGCGCTGGGCTCAGAGCTGACCTTTGCCACGCGGACGGGGTCGCGCCAGGGCGTGGAGATGCACGTGTTCCGCGTGGAGACACACCGGGACCTCTCGGCCTGGACACGTGTCCTGGTGCAGGGCTGCCACGCTGCTGCTGAGCTCATCAAGGAGGTGACTGTGGGTGAGTGCTGCGGGGTGGACCCAGGGATCCCCCATTCCCACCCTCCTGGGGCTGTGGGGCTTGGCAGGGGGGCAGGGTCTGACGGTGGCCGTGCCTGCAGGCTGCACGCTGGGCGGGCAGGAGGTCCAGCTCTCCATCCACTACGAGGGTGGATTCACCATCTCCCGGGAGGAGCCGGGCACCAGCGTCCTCTTCCGCTACCCCTATGAGCGGCTGAAGATGTCGGCGGACGATGGCATCAGGACTCTCTACCTGGATTTCGGGGGCCCTGAGGGGGAGCTGGTGAGGAGGGGGCAGCCAGGCTCACCCCTTTGTTTATGGGGTTTTCCTCCAGGGGTGGTTCCTGCTTTCCCCCAACCCTTCAGTGTCCCAGGTGTCTAGACCCGCTGGGTTTGGCTGGTTGGGATCCCCTACCATGTGGTGCCCCCCGTGTGGGGAACTGTTTGAGATGGGGGGGCTGACGCCGCTCTCCATCTCTCCCCAGGCACTGGACCTGCACTCCTGCCCCAAACCCATCGTCTTCGTCCTGCACACCTTCCTCTCAGCCAAAGTCACCCGCATGGGGCTGCTGGCGTAGGTGCCCCAGGTCCCCCATGCTGTCAGGAACCAGCCGGGGGTCACAGAGGGACCCCCAACCTCTCCTGCCCTACCAGTGCCTTGCTAAGGCTGGGATCCCTGCCCTGAGAGCCTCCAGGAATGCAGCAGGATGGCTGCCCAGGGGGGGAATGAGCCCCTCCTGCCCACACCAGCACCCCCAGACTCTCCAGTGCCCCAGGGGGGTGTTGGAGTACAGACACCAGCTTTAATCCCCCCGGGACTGAAGCCATCACTGATTTCACCGCCTGTGCCTTGGAGCGGGGCCAGCCTGGCCTCCATGCCTGGGGGACCCCCCATGCTCCTCAACCCATGTCTGGGGGAGTCAGTCTGGGGGGGCTTCCCCCAAGGAGGTCACATTGTCTCTAACTGGGGGAGAGCTCAGGCTGTGGGACCCCCCTTGTTGCTGCATGAGGGGTCCCCGTGCCCTGCTCAGGGGACACACACACATTTGTCTTACAGGGGGCACTCAGGGGTGCAGAGGGTGTGCCTGAGCCTGGGGTGTTGGTCCCTGGGGCTCAGCTACCCCACCCCCCACTGCTCCCCAGCAGTGACCCCCAAACCTCCCAAAGCCAGAACAATGCCGCGTATCTGCCCTGGGCAGGGGGGCCGGGGCTGCTGAGCCCCCCCCAGAGCTGTCCCCACCCCAGCCACTGCTGCCTGTGCCTCTTGCCCCTGGGGGGTCCTCACGGGATGGGGGCAGGACACGTAGATTGATGCACTTTCGCTTTTTGTACTTTCCCTCCCCCCTTGGGGGCAGTTTCTGTGCCCTGGAGTGCTGGGGGATCCCAGGCAGTGCCAGAGCAGGACCCCCAGGGCTCCCCACTCCCACTGAGGCCCCGGTACCCTCAGCCAAACTCCCGCACAGTTCTCTGCTTCTGAGGGGGCTGTGCTGGCTGGAGGGTCCCGTGGGATCCCATGAGGTGCTGCCCCCTCTTCTATTTTTGTATTCTTTGTAAATCGCTATTTATATCAGATTGCCTTTTCCATGGGCTCTGAGTCTCATTTAGGGGGTGCCTGGGGGCTGGGGGGCCCGGGGGTGTTGTCACAGTGTGCGTGTGTGTCTGCTGGAGGGACAATTAATTCACAGTACAGCACAGGGAGGGCAGGGTAGGCTGTGCTGGGCTGGCCAGTGCAAGGGAGACTGGGATGTGCTGGACACAACCTGGTGTGGGGCTGATGGGGAAACTAAGAATTCTCTGGGAGGGCTGGGGTGGGTGTCTTTGGGGATCCCAGGAGATCCTCTGGGGAGGATTCTGGAGGGATGGGGGGATCTCTGGGCATGCTGGGGTGGGGGCTCTTTGGGATTTCTGGGGGTGACTGGGGTGACTCAGCAGGAGCAGCTGGGGCAGTGGGGCCAGTTCAGCTCTGGGAGAGGTGGGCTCAACAGTAGCACAGGTGTTTGGGGTGGGGTGTATGGGTGTGTGTGTAGGTATATACACACTGTGTGCACAGTGTGTGGGTGTGGGGATGTGTCTGTGTTTGTATGTGTGTGTACAGGTCTATCCTGTACACCTGGGCGCAGTGTGGGGGTGTGCACATGGGGGACACAGAGGGGGGTTACATGGGTGGAACTGCATGGTGGGTATGTACACACACACACATGAACTGCATGGTGGGTATGTACACACACACACATGAACACACACAGAATCTGTGTGTAGGGGTGTGTACATGAGTGTGAACATGTCCACACGCGCTCTGAGTGTTTGGGATGGGGGTGTTTGTGGGTGCGTCTGTGGGTGCCCATGTGAGAATGTCCAGGTGTCTGTGTGTGTTTGTGTGCGTGCGTGTCTGTGAGTACACACACACACGCACAAAGTTTTGGGGGGTGTCTGTGGGTGCACACACACACGAACACATGCATGCACACACACACGAACATGCATGTGCACACGTGAACCCAGACACACATGAACACATACACATGCACACATGAAGACGCATGAACAAACGCACACAACCCCCCAACACACCTCTACACCCGTTATGAGGGCGGATGCGCGCGCACGCGGGTGCTCGGTGGGCGGGCCTGCACGAGACCGCGCCCCAACAGGGGCGTATCACATGTCAGGTAGGCGGGGTTATGCGATACCACGCCCTGCGATGGGCGGGGCCGGCGGGGGGCGCAGTGCCGGGCGGGGCCGGCAGAGGGCGCGGGGCAGGGCGGGGCCGGCAGGGGGCGCAGGCGCAGTCGGTGCAGCCGCCGCCGCCGCCGTTCCGGAGCCGCCGGAGCGGCCGCACCGGGCGATGCGATGACAACGTCCACCCTGCAGGTACCGACCGGCCACGGGACTCCGCCCGCGCCGCCCCCGCGCGCCCCCGCGCCGGGCCTCTGCACGCCACGGCTGACGGGCCGCAGCGGGCCCGGCGCCGTGCCGGCCGGGGATAGGCCTCACTCGGCCCCGGTCCTGGGCCCTGCTGGAGCTGCCTCGTCCTGCCGAGAGCCGGTGCCGGCGCGGCGAGGAGGGTGCGGGGCGCTGCGGAAGGGCCCGGGTGCGGGCGGGCCCGGCCCGGTGCTGGCGGTGGGGAGGGGCTCCCCGGCCAGCCCCCGGTGCTCACGGCGCTGCTCCCCCGCAGAAAGCCATCGACCTGGTCACCAAAGCCACCGAGGAGGACAAGGCCAAGAACTACGAGGAAGCGCTGCGGCTGTACCAGCACGCCGTCGAGTACTTCCTACACGCCATCAAATGTGAGACCGGCCGCGGGGGCGGGGGGCTCCGGGGACGCCGGTGCTCGAGGGGCTCCGGGGGCTCACGGTGACGCCTGGGGGTCCCTGCAGATGAGGCTCACAGTGACAAGGCCAAGGAGAGCATCCGAGCTAAGTGTGTGCAGTACCTGGACCGGGCAGAGAAGCTGAAGGAGTACCTTCGCAGCAAGGACAGGCACGGAAAGAGACCGGTCAAGGAGGCCCAGAATGACAACAAGGGGTGCGTGAGGGGCTGGGGGGTGAGGGACCCCCTGCACGGCCACGGAGCTGGCAGGGCCCTGCTGCCACACGAGGGCCCGTCCCACTCCTGATCCTTGTTCCTTGTCCCCAGGAGTGACAGTGACAGCGAGGGCGAGAACCCCGAGAAGAAGAAGCTTCAGGAGCAGCTGATGGGTGAGGGGCCACACTGGGCTCGACCTGCTGGGGTTGAGGAGGGAATCCCTGATGGCTACCACAGGGGTGGCTGTGGGAAGGGGAGCGGGTGTGGGACTGTGTTCCAGGGGTGTGTTGCTGCAGTCTGGCCACCCCCAAATCGGTTGGTGTGCCCAGGGGAGGTGTGGGGAGGGGCGGGGCCTCTGGCTCTGCCAGCTCTGGGTGCCTGTGTGAGCAGAGCTGCCCCCTCACAGGTGCCATCATGATGGAGAAGCCCAACGTGCGGTGGAGTGACGTGGCTGGACTGGAGGGAGCCAAGGAAGCCCTGAAGGAGGCTGTGATCCTGCCCATCAAGTTCCCACACCTGTTCACAGGTGAGGCTGTGGCAGTGGGGAGGGGCCATGCAGGAGCTGACACCCCACCCCCCCGGGTGATCCCAGTGTGGATCCAGGTGCGGGGATGGGGTGTCCTGAGGCCAGGCTCTGCTGCAGGGAAGCGCACGCCCTGGCGCGGGATCCTGCTCTTTGGGCCGCCCGGCACTGGCAAGTCCTACCTGGCCAAGGCTGTGGCCACCGAGGCCAACAACTCCACCTTCTTCTCCGTGTCATCCTCTGACCTGATGTCTAAGTGGCTGGGGGAGAGCGAGAAGTAAGTTGGCAGCAGGGACGTGGGGCTGAGGCTGGCTCCAGGCTGGTCTGGGCCAGGGCAGGAACCACCAGCATCAGTGAACCCCAGTAACAGGGCTGTTTAAGAAGTGTTGGGAGCTGGTTCCTCCAGAGGCAAACTCCGAACAAAGCAGTCCTGGGGTCTCTATCCCCTCACAGCCTGTGCCCCCCATCTTCACACACCTCTCAGTCCAACAGCGATTTGTGGGCTGGGGTCTTCTAAGACATCATTGGACTCTTTCTCCATTCTCATCCTCTAGCTTGGGGCAGTCTTGGGGCCCTCCAGGGTCTCAGCCATATCTGAATGTTTCCCATCTGTCTGTTTCCTCCCCTGCTCAGCCATCCATGCTTAGAGTTCATGTACAGTTCACCTACACCACATATTGGGCAGGGGCCACCCCTGCAAAGCTGTGACCAAGTTACAATTAAACTTCGCTCTACACAATTAATTTCTAATATCCTATATTTATACTTACTTTTAATCCTGAGCAGGTTCCCAGGGGAGAGCAGAGCCCCTTGAGGGGCTGTGCCTCACTGCCAGTGCAGGGTTTTCAGGGCAGGAGGAACATGGGGCTCCTCACCCTGGGGCTGCCATGGGTGCTGGATGCTGGGGAGGGTCCCTGAGTGGGGACCCATCCCCTGCTTTGTTCCCAGGCTGGTGAAGAACCTGTTTGAGCTGGCAAGGCAGCACAAGCCCTCTATCATCTTCATCGATGAGGTGGACTCGCTGTGTGGCTCCCGCAACGAGAACGAGAGCGAGGCAGCCCGGCGCATCAAGACCGAGTTCCTGGTGCAGATGCAGGGTGGGTGGAGTCCCGGGATGGGGGTCCTGGGAGGGTGGTGGGGGTAGCAAGATGGGGCTAGCAGAAGCTGGGGATTCAGAGAACCCCTGGGGATTAGTCTGAGTCATCTGCCTGCAGGTGTGGGGAACAGCAGCGATGGGATCCTGGTGCTGGGTGCCACCAACATCCCCTGGGTGCTGGACTCAGCCATCAGGAGAAGGTGAGGAGGACATGCAGCTCCCAACCCCCGAGCTCCTGGCAGGGCTGGCATGGGCTCACAGTGGGGCTCACACTCCCCCCCCCCAGGTTTGAGAAGCGAATCTACATCCCACTGCCCGAGGAGGCAGCGCGGGCCCAGATGTTCCGGCTGCACCTGGGCAACACCCCGCACTCCCTGAAGGACACCGACATCCTGGAGCTCGCCCGCAAGACTGACGGCTACTCGGGGGCCGACATCAGCATCATCGTGAGGGACGCCCTCATGCAGCCTGTGCGCAAGGTGCAGTCGGCCACGCACTTCAAGAAGGTGAACAGGGCTGCTCTGCTCCGGGGGGGTCCCCAGGGTGGGGTGGGCCCCGCGGCTGCTGTCCTGCCCTGAGCACTGTCCCAACTGCCTGTGGCTCTGTGCAGGTCCGTGGCCCCTCCCGCACCACCCCCGGCGTCCTCGTGGATGATCTCCTGACGCCGTGCTCGCCCGGTGACCCTGGGGCCACCGAGATGACCTGGATGGAGGTGCCCAGTGACAAGCTGATGGAGCCCATTGTCTGCATGGTGAGTGTCAGCTCTGGGATGCGGGGCTGGGCACTTGCCCAGCCTGGCACAACAGTGCTGTGGCTCAGGCCCAACCAGTTCCCTGTTCCTCCTCCAGGCCAAGGGCTAGGCAGTGCTGTGGCTCCTGGCAGTGGGCGCAGCCCCCCAGTCTACCCCCGTGTGGTGCTGAGCTCCCCAAAGAGAGCTGGGTACCAGGAAAGGGCCTTGGGTCCTCCAGGCAGCTCCCACCTGCAGAGCCAGTGCTGCTGCCATGAGGCAAAGGTGCCAGCATGGGCAGAGCTGCCCCACTGCCATGGCGGGGGAGTCCCTACCCGTGCCCCTGGTCTGACCTGTGTGCCCCCCTACCTGTGTTGCAGTCGGACATGCTGCGCTCACTGGCCACCACCCGCCCCACTGTCAACGCCGAGGATCTCCTCAAGGTGAAGAAATTCACGGAGGACTTTGGACAGGAAGGTTGAGGGGGGCATGGGGGGGTGTGGGGTTGGGGCGGCCACGGGCCCTGCTCTGCCCCCCCTCCCCGGGCGTGCCAAACCGACTCATCTTCGCTCACTCCCTCCCATCGCACTGCAGCACCCAGCGGGCGCGGGGACACAGCCCGGGGGGCTCACACTACGGGGTGGGGGTCTGAGCATGGCCTGGGCAGCTGGGTGCCCCTCTGGCTGCGCTCCACTCTTCTTCTTGCTCTTTTTTATTTTTTAAATTAATGCTGCTTTGGGTTTCGTCTCGTTTATATGAAAATAAAAACAATCCAAAAGCTTCAGCCAGCACCCAGATGCTCCCCAAGGCTCTGCCCACACCGGGGTCCCAGCCCAGCCCCTCACCCCCAAAATGCACTGCCCCAGGGCCAAGGTCTCTGCCTGTCCCCAGGGGTGTGTGGGGCTCCCCGTGCTCCAGCCATCCTAGACAGGGATTTGTGCCTACAGCAGGGGCTGTTTGGAGCAGCCCACCAGCCAATAACACCGAGCCAGCCACCCATGTCCCCAAGGGCTCCCCTCAGCCCCACTGACCCCCTAGCCCCACCCATGCTGTGCTCATGTGCCCCAAAGAAGCCCCAGAGGGAGAGATTCCCTCACCTTTCCCCAGCACAGCCATGGCAGCAGGCTGTTCCTAGACCCATGAAGTGACTTCCAGTGCCCAGGGGAGCATGGGCTGGACCCCCCAGTTGCCCCCCACCATGAGCCTAGAGTGCTGGTGGGCAGGAAGGGCCAGAGCCACACTGAGGCCACAGGTCTGTATTGGCTGCAATAAACCTGAGTGGGAGCCCCTGGTCTGTGGCTCCGTGCTGGTTCTTTCTCCAGGGTTAGAGAGGGCCCACTGCACAGAGGGGCCTCGGGCACATAGGGGGCAGCTGGGGGTGGGCACAGTAGGGTCAGTCCATGAGCTCCATCCAGCCCACGTTGGTGAAGGTGCGGGGGTCCATGCGGTCAATGTAGAGGATCCCGTCCAGGTGGTCCATCTCGTGCTGTATGATGCGGGCAGCCCAGCCCATGGCCTCCCAGCTCACTGGCACCCCGAGCTCGTCCACGCCTGCTGCCAGGGGAACTTGTTGGGGAGCTGTGGGGACTGGGGGGGGTGTGTGATTGGGGGGCCAAAAAGGGGAACCCGTGTGAGAGTAGGGGACTTGTGTGAAATTGGAGGGACCCATGAGAGAATGGGGAGATTGTGTGGGAATGGGGGGACCATGTGAGAGTGGGGTATATCCCCAAGGGGGATCCATGGAAGAGAGGGGGACCCGTGAGAGTGTGGGGGGACATGTGACAGAATGGGGGCCCGTGGTGGGTGGAAGTGGCAGATGCAGGGTCCCACCCGGGACAGGGCAGGGCAGTACCCCGGTGCAGGGAGGGTCGGTCCGTACCGGAGACGTGGACGGCCCAGTAACGCGGGACGTAGGCGGAGAAGCCGTGGATGCTGGCGCAGCCCTCGGGGGCGGTGACGAGGCGGGTGTCGAGGACACGGAGCGCGGGGTTGACGAGCAGGCGGAGCGGGAAGGGCTCGATGCTGTGTGCGCGGCGCAGCGCCGCCGGGTACTGCGCGCAGCGGTCGGGCGGCAGCTCGGCGGCGAACACCCGCAGCGGCACCCCGAGCTGCGGGGCGCTCAGCCCCAGGCACGGCCGGCCTCGCAGCCCCGCCGCCAGCGCCGCCGCCAGCCGCCGCAGCTCGGGGCCGCCCAGCTGCTCCGGGGCCACGGCGGCGGCGGCGCCGCGCAGCACCGGGGCTCCCACCTGCACCGGCGCGGCGAAGGGCGGCACGGGCGGGCCCAGCACCCGCCGCCGCAGCGCTCGCCAGTACGAGCGCTCCCGCCGGGCCCAGCCCGCCGCGTCCCCGTCCCCGCACCCGCGGCACGGGGGAACCGGGAGGGCCGGGCGGGCCCGTCCCAGCGCCCGTCCCAGCGCTGCCGCCATCGAGTACCGGGTGCGCGCGCACCGGCGGCGGGACAGCGCCCCCTGGCGGCCCCGGTGCAAACAGGAAACAGGGAGGGTGTGCTCGGTGCGGGGGGAGTGGGGTGTGTCCCGTGCGTGGGGGTGCCGCGGGCAGAGGACGGGCTGGGCTGGGGGACAGGTCACTGCCACAGGGAGACACGGCCCGGCCGCGCCGCTCCCCGGCTACCCCGTGGCCACCGGGTCACCTGGCAGCACAGCCCCCTCGGGGGGGCTCTCCGGGGGCTCGGTGGGCACGGCCGCGATTTCCCCTTCCGGGCACAGGGTGGTCTCCTGGGCTGGCTCCTCCTCGCCTGGTGCCGGTGGAAGCAGGAAAGCCAGCGGCTCCCTGAGCGCAGCCACGTCGATGCGGCCCAGGCGGCCGAAACGCTGCAGCTGGGTGGGGGGGATGCCTGGGAGAGGGGAGAGTGGGGTTAGGGGGGGCTGCAGGCAACGGGACCCCTATAGAGGAGGGGAAAACCATGGATGGGAGCAGAGCTACCACCCCATAATGAAAACCAAAGCCCAGGATCTCACCCAGTGCCTGTGCGATCTGTGATGGAGGGAAAAGCACTTGGAGGCAGCGGTTCAGGTAAGGCAGCAGGTCCTCCAGGAAGGCTGTGCAGAACTGGGCAAAGAGCTCCTGCTCCCGCCCACTGAAAGCCGCCTCCTCCGCACGGTGGAAGGCCAGGATGGTTTTGGTCACCTAGGGAGAGAAGAAAAGGTGGCACCTGGGAGTGACAGTGGCTGAACATGAGCCCAGGTGGGCAAGAAGGACAATGGCACCTGGATTGTACCAGCCACAGTGTGGCAGGACCAGTGCAGTGCCTGTCCCCTGTGCTGGCTCTAGGGGGGTTTTAAAAGCCATGTGGATGTGGCACCTGGGGACATGGGTTAGTGGTGGCCTTGGCAGTGCTGGGGGATTCGATGATCTCAGAGGCTTTTCCAACCCACTCAGGCCAGGACAAACGCATCCCGTGTTCTCCCAGCACAAGTCCCAGCACCATCCCCCAGACTCACCTCCCCAAGGGCACTGTCCAGGCAGGCAGTGACATCCTGTGCCAGGGCGATGGGGCAGCAGAGCCGCAGGTCGTTGAAGGCAACGAGGAGGCCGTTGAGGAAGCAGGCAAGGGGAGGGAAGTCCAGCAGCACCATGGGGGGCTGCAGCGTCCCAGGCTGGGCCGTGGGCACCAGCACTGCCGCGCCGCCCCCCAGCATGGCTGGCGCTGAGATCAGTGTGTAGGAATTCATCTCCTCTCGGAATTTCTCCACCGCCTCCTCCACTGCCTTCCTAAAGGTATCGGCAGCCACGCGCTGGAAGAGGGGGGCCAGCTGCCCGCGGAAATCCGCGCCCACTCTGCTGAAGGACAGCCCGAAGTACATGCACTGCCCCAGCAGCGAGTCCAGCCGGCTGCCCACCCCACGGTCCAGGTCGCGCTCCAGTGTCTGCAGGAACTCAGAGACCTTCTGGAGCACCCAGCCGTGGAAGATGGCCCCCTCGGCAGGCACCGTGCCCTCGGCCGGCACCAACGGCTCCTCATCCGAGAATATGGCGCGGTACTGGGTGATGATGTCGAAGAGGTGCACCCGGCAGGCCTCGATGGTCTTGGTGATGTGCACGTAGGGGTCGTGGTCGGGGATGGAGGCCTGGATGGAGCGCAGCCACGCGTCACGCGCCTGCAGGAACTTGACGCGCAGCTCAGCCTCGGTGAGCACATCCATGCGCCGCAGGAAGCCGATGACGCGCAGGCAGGCCGGCAGCGGGATGTTGGTGCGGAGCTGCTGGATCAGCTGGTTCAGCATCAGCTGGGCAGACTGGCGCACCTCCTCCACGATGCCCTACAGAGGGAGAGAGCACTCAGGGGGCACTGGTGTAGGGCAGAGTAGGGCTCACATGGACCTTGGGGCAGAGACAGCACAGGGCTCACCTGGATTATGGGGCAGGTCAGACTGGGGCTTACCTGGATCACGGGGATGCTGCTGTGCTTCCTCTCCAGCCGGCGCACGTAGGCCGCAAGCTCCAGTGCCTCCTCGTAGTAGCCATTGCGGACACAGGTGTCCATGAGCTGCGGGATCTCCAGGATCTCCAGGATCTCCGTGTGCCGGTTCAGGGTCAGGCTGTTCATCCGCCGGCTGCAGGCAATCGCCTCAGCATCACGCATGAAGGTCCTGGGGGTTGACACGGCATCAGCAGGAGGGTCCTCCCTGCACCGGATGGACCTCGGGACCCTCCCACTCACACCGGCTGCTCCCAGAGCTGCCCAGGAGCCCCCCAGCACTGCCTCCAGCCCAGCCCAGTCCCGGCCCTTACTGAGCTCAGCACGGGACCCCTCGCAGCCCCCAGCCCACCCTCCCCTGCCCAGGGCCGCTCCTGCTCCCGCAGACCCTGCCCCAGCATCCCATCCCTGCTCCCTCCTGTCCCCGTTTCCACCCGCGCCTTCCCCGCCGCGGTCCCCCCGTCCCCCCCGATACCCGTCCCGCACCGGCAGGCGTCCTGCAGCGCGGGCAGCCGCTCCAGCAGGCTGCCGAGGCGGCTCTCGATGCCGCCGAAGCCGCGGCCGGCGCGGCCGGTGCACTCCGCGGAGCGGATAAAGGCGCGGTAGTGCTCGAAGGCGAGGCGGCGCGTCTCGGCCCCGACCCGCTCCCGCTCCGCCGCGAGCCGCGCCGGCTCCCGGCCCAGCTCCGCCAGCCCCAGCGCCGCCAGCTCCGACACATAGGCGGCGAGCTCGGGGCCGGCGGGCCCCGCGGCCGGGCCGCGCAGCCAGGCCAGCAGCCGCGCCTCCTCCGCCGCCGCCGCCATCGCCGCCGGCCCCGCCGCGTCACCGCCGGTTCCGGGCACGGCCCTTCCGGCCCCGCGGCCCCGCGTGCGCCCGGCGGGAGATGCGGCCGCTCACGGAGGCGGAGACGCGAGCGGTGTTCGAGAAGCTCGGGAAATAGTGAGAGGCCGGGACACCGGGAGAAGTGGACCGGGGAGGGACCGGGAGGGATGGGCCGCTGGGACCGGGAGCGGCACGGGGACTGGGAGGGCTGGATTGGCTGGACCCGGGGACCGGGAGGGCTGGGCCCGTGACCGGGCTCGGGGACGGGATGGACACCGGCGGGGACCGAGGAGGGGATGGGCACCGGGGATCGGGCGGGATCAGGCACCGAAAGGGGATGGGGATCGGGTGGGACGGGTACAGGGGACCGGCGAGGGGATGGGAGGGGCGGGATCTGCACTGGCCTGGGGACCGGGAGGCCTGGAACCCGGGGGGGCCGGGCACGAGGAGGGAACGGGCACCGGGGACCGGAGGGGCCGTGGCAGAAGGGGCCGGGGTCGGGCCGTGCTCATGGGGTCCGTCCCCGCAGCATCGGTGAGAACATCCAGCTGCTGGTGGACCGGCCCGATGGCACCTACTGCTTTCGCCTGCACCGGGACCGCGTGTACTACCTCAGGTGAGCCCCGGGGGCACGGGGGGGCTCTGGGGCAGCCTGCGCGGGGAGGTGGCCCCGCAGCCCCCCAGCACTGCCCTGCTCCCGCAGTGAGAAGTTGCTGAAGCTGGCGGCCAGCATTCCCCGGGACAGCCTGGTAGCCCCGGGCACCTGCTTCGGGAAGTTCACCAAGTCCCAGAAGTTCCGGCTCAGTGTGACGGCCCTGGACTTCCTTGCGCCCTACGCCAAGGTGGGACACAGCCCCCCCAGCCACCCCCAGCCCGTGCCAGCACCCCCCGGCAGCCCCCAGCCCCTCACCACTCTGCCCTCTCTTACAGTACAAGGTGTGGGTGAAGCCTGGCTCAGAGCAGTCCTTCCTCTATGGGAACCACGTGCTGAAGTCGGGGCTGGGCCGCATCACGGAGAACACGGCGCAGTACCAGGGCGTGGTGGTGTATTCCATGGCTGACGTCCCGCTGGTGAGCGCCCGGGGCCTGCCACAGCTGTGGGGTGGATACAGGGTGGGAGAACTCCCTCTCACCCCCCCTTCATCCCACCAGGGCTTTGGGGTGGCTGCCAAGTCCACGCAGGAGTGTCGGAAGGTGGATCCCTTGGCCATCGTGGTGTTCCACCAAGCCGATGTCGGAGAGTACGTGCGGAATGAGGACACGCTGACCTAAGGGATTCCAGGGACCTGAAGGGACCTGCATGCCCTGCAAGTGTTCCTGAGCAGAATGGACCTTGTCCTGGACTGTGGGTGTGGGGAGCCACAGGGAGCCCACCCCAAATGGGATGGAGAGGGAAGGAGCTGCCAGTACACAGCCCCACAGCCCTGGGGGGGCTGCTGCCAGCATGGGGGAAGGTGCCTCTGCACCAGCCTTGTCACATAAAGCCTCTTGCTTTTCCTAGTGCCTGTTGTCTGGTGCGGAGCCTCAGAGGGTTCAGCCTTTGCCCCTCCTGCGGTTCTCTGTTCTCCTGGGGCAGGCACAGTGCACTGGGGTGCAACTCCAGAGAGGGGAACCAACATGTTTGGGGGATGGATGAGGCCAGGGGGAATCTCAGGAGGAAGCTTACAGCCCTGGGCTGAGGTTCAGGGAGGGGGAGATGGGCAGGCCACTGCCCCTGGGCTCACAGAAGCTGGACAGCAGCAACAGTGATCGTTTCCCAGAATGTGCTAGAGGTTCCTTTATTGGGAGTCTGGTAGAAAAGGCCCAGTGGGACACTAATGATGGGCAAGGATGTGACAAACACTTCTGCCACACAAAGTTCAGGTGACAGTGTGGTGCTTGGCTTCTCTGGGGATGATTTCAGGGGTAGAGCTGGAGGCAGGAGTGGAGCTCTTCCTGGAAGCAGGATCTGGCCTTTCCTCCCACTCCACAGCGGGGTCACCAGGCACTGGCAGCCACAGCCCTGCCCTGTTCTAGCACTTCTGGCTGCCAGAGGTTTGTGCATGGAAGAGGCGCTTGAGGAAGTAGAGCTGCAGCACCCCGGAGAGGACGATGACACAGCTCTGGGCCATCGACCACCAGTTGACGTAGTTGTAGTTGGACTCCAGAAGGAAGGAGTCAGCCCCTTTCCGCATCCGGGCAAAGTTGTAGAAACGCCACATGTGGAAGGTTTGGATCTGCAGCCTCTGGATGCTGATCTGCAGGAGAGGCAGAGCTGTGCTTGGAGCTGCCTGCTGGGCTCAGTGCTGCATTCAGCAGCAGCTCAGCCAGAGCAAACGCCCTTCTCGGTCCCCTGGGCAGGACGTGCCCATCCCCCCTGTGCTGGGACACCCCGTGGCCACCCTGACCCTCACCTTGATTGCCTCCAGTGTGTCATTCAGCTCCTTCTTCTCCACAGGCTGCCTGTGTTCCGTGTTGAAGTCGTCATAGTAGACACCGAAGTTGAGATACACCTGCATGAAGCCAAAGTGGTTTTGCTGGTTGTCCAGGCACAGCTCGTAGAAACCTGCAGAGAGAAATGAGGGTTGTTGGTCCATGGGTAGAAGGGCACCAGGCAGACACATCCCCGGTGCTCGACCCTCATCCATCCCATCTGGGAGCAATCGGCACTCAGGAAGGCTCGGAGCTGCTGCAGGGGCCAGGGCAGGGGGGAACCTGTGTCCTTGGTGAGGAAGTTGATCTGCCCTCGCACGTCTTGGGAGGCTCCAAGCTGGAAGCCATTGGGGTCACTCGCCGTGACCAAGATGTTCCTGCTGTTGCCAATCCCTGTTGCCCGCTGGACCTGGAGGCAGAGAACACCCGAAGGGAATTTGTGGGCCACTGGTGTGTTGGGGATGGAGCTGTGCTGAGCCCCAAGGTTGTGTTCCTGGGGGGCTGCTCTGCCAAATGCAGAGCCGAGGGGAAGGTGCCAGCTCCAGGCACAGCCACGCCCTGGCTCTCCTTCAGCCAACCCAATGTAAACAGGAGATAAAAGGGCTGGAGTTTCCCTGCAGGAAGGGGACAGAGCATGGGGACACACTGTGCTGGGACTTTCAGCTATGCCACAGTGTCCAGCCAGACAGCGAAGGGCAGAGCTCCCCACAGTGCCAGGACACCCCACAGCTCTCTGCAAGTGAGCTCGGGGTGCTCAGGCACCATGTCCAGAGCTCCCAGCACCACTTTGTGGTTTTAAACCAGCTATTCAAAAAAATGCATGGGATTGATGATGGATAGAGATTAGATTAGATATTGGGAAGAAATTCTTCCCTGTAAAGATGGTGAGGCCTTGGCAGGCCAAAGGCTGCCCAAAAAAGCTGTGGCTGCCCTATCCTTGGAAGTGTCCAAGATCAGGTTGGACAGGGCTTGGAGCAACCTGATCTAGTGGAAGGTGTCAGTGCCCATGGCATGGGGTGGAATGGGATGAGCTTTAAGGTCCCTTCCCACCCAAACAATTTCATGATATTGCATAGAAAAGGCACAGCCCTGAGGGGTGGTGTGCCACAGCACCTGCTACATGCAACTGATCCAGCACAGCCATTCCCTATGTCAGCAGCTTTCCAGGACACGTCTCCCAACACTCACCTCGTAGCTGAAGAAGAAGTTGCCGCCCTGGTGTGAGAACTGCCAGAAGCACTCCACGGTGCCGCCGGGGATGACGACGGCGAAGTCGTACCGATCGGCCCCACGGAACAGCGGCTCTGGGCTGGACCCGCTCAGGGGCTCCGTGCGGGGGCAGCCAGCGGGGCCTGGCAGCACCAAGAGCAGCAGCAGCAGCATCCTCCTGCTCCCTGGGCTCTGTCGCTCCTGCCGGGCAGGGCAGAGGAGGACGAGGTGGCTGGGGGGTAATCATTAACTGCTCCGCAGCACCAGGAGGAGCACGGCACAGGCTCCATGGCTCAAGGTGATCCTGGTGTGGAGCAGGAGCTCTGGGACACCCTCTGCTGCTGAGGGCCCAGCCTGGAGAAGGGCATAACGGGACACAGCTCCTTCCAATAGGGCACAACCAATTGGCATTGCCTCACATGGGCCATTACTGGCCCACATTGAGCCTCTCTGCCCCCGTGCTCCTGCTGCCCAGGGCTGCTCCAGCCCCAGGGAAAGGATTTACAGGCAGAAAGAGAGGGAAATGCATGGCCACAGCTGGAGGACAAGGGACACTGTGCAGCACCTGTGGCTGAAGGACAGAGGGGGAAGCAGGTGTTTCCAGAGAGAGTTCTCCCAGCCATGGCTCTGCTGGAACATAGCCAGAGAATCCTAAAACTAAGTTTAGGAAATGCCCCTCTATCTCCCCTGCCCTTACTCCACAGAAATCTAAGCCAGAAACTCCTGTTTCCCACCACCTACACCTACAGGACAGTGCTGCTCCTGCCCCAACACTCCCAGAGGGGAAAAAGGAGCCCCACATTCCTAGGGCAGTCCATGCCCCATACTGCTGCATTTCCACCCACAAGATACAAATTTACTCTTTTACAAACTCCTGATATCCAACAAGAAAGGGACTTTGTTTTTTACCACTCTTGATATCCAAAAAGAAAGGGAGTTTATTTTTTAAAACTCTTGGTATCCAGAAGAAAGGGACTTTATTTTACAAGTAACTGTTTGGACATGGATTCCAGCTTTGGCAGCTGAAGGCAGGAACACGCAGCGCCCTCGGAGCTCACGTGCTCACAGGGATTGAAGGACATTACTGGGAAAAGTGCCAGGAAGACATGGCCAAAGTCAGCCAGAAGTGGAACTTTTAACATGGAAACGACCAACATTTCTAAGTACTGAAACACAAAATAATGTTCTAAAGTCTCAGAGCTGGGAGGGAGGATTTTCCCCTCACAATTAGTCATTTACAAAGCAGAAAGAAATGCCTGTTCCCCCCAGGAGCTCTGCGACTCAGTGCTGCCTCTCTCCTACGAGGGAGTGATGGCAAATGGGTGAAAAAGTGATTCAGAGATCAGACAGGGATAATCCTGCTGATTGACAGTACCTGAGCAGAGCAATCCAGCTGGGACTCATCCCACAGAGGCTGCAGTGCTCAGGAGAACAAGGAAATCTCCATCCAGGCACATGCAGAGAGGCTGCACAGCCTCTACCACCTGCAGCAGACTGATCTTTGCAGCTCCAGCTGGAGAACAAGGCTCCTGGGTTCCTGGCAGTCCTGGTTTTGGGGTGCCAGAGGAGTTCCCCATACTGAGACAGCCTCCCTGTACTGGCACTCTGGTCCAGCTTCCAAAAAACAAAACGAGGTTTTTGCATGGAATGTCCCAGGGCTCCCAGCTTCAGAGGATTCCCTGTTTCTTCATGGTCCGCCAGCGGTCCTTGATCATCACTGCTGTGCGGTTCTGGAACGGGTACTTCTGGCAAATGGCCTTCCATCTCCCCTCTCCAAACTTCTTCACACCTTGCTTGATCCACTCGCTCTCCTGGATCGTCCATTTCTACAAAGAGCAGGTGAGCAGGTTCAGGGAAGAGCTGCACAGCAGAGAAGCTGCTGCAGCTCCTTCCTGGCATGTTCCTTCCCTGTGCCAGGACAGGCAGGGAAGGCAGACAGGTCCTGGCAGCTGCACACACAACACTCCAGCACTACAGATATAGTGCAGCAGCACAAGAGTCAGCAGCTGCCTTCCTATGGCTCAGGGGGAGAGTTCCTCGTGGCACCAGGCTTGGGACCTTTTTCCACGTAACAGCTGCCAGACATGTTCCCCTCACCTGAACAAGGCTCTAAATCCCTCCAGCACAAGGGGCATTTGGCAAACCTGGCTCTGAGCTGTCAAGGCAAAGGTGCCTGAGGCACATTGCTGGTGCCCAGCTCCAGCCAACTTCCAAACGGGGCTGTTTTACCACAGAGACTGTACAGACACAGCCCTGTTTCAGGCCCTGCTAGAAGCACCTAAGGCTTTACATACCTGTTTCTTGGAGCTGAATACTGTGGTGTTGTTTGTCCCAACTGATGCTGGAAAACAAGGAAGAGGGTTACATACCCCATAATTTGGGAGGTACAGATCTTCTTGAAAGGCTGCCTCAGGCTTAACTGCTGAGCTGTGCAGTCAGAGCACCCCATGACAGGCAACAAACCCCAATTCCTTTCTCCCAACCTTTCTACTGGATTTCTGGTTTCAAAATTCAGTCACCCTTGATAGCAAGACCCCCGTGAGTGACCCCCAAGCCAGGATTAGCACCAGGTAACCCCTGCCAGGGGACTCTGTTCTTACCTGCATCTAAGAAGAGCTCATCCTCCTCACTCCAACTATCCTTTTCTTCCACACCACGGGAGCTGTTCCACCTTCCCTGGAAGGACCTGAAAGCAGATGGGGATTTACTCTGGCTACTGCTCAGAAGGGTTTTGGGGAAGAGGTGCAGGGCCACCCAGCACAGAGAGCCAGCCTGTGGACATTGTGTTTCTCAAGAAGTGGAAAGCAGAGTTTAACCTGTTCCACAGGATGCTCCTACAAACTCTAGCCAGTTATGCTGAAGCTGGGAAAAGTGCAGAGGAATGCGTGTTACCTGCACTGGAACCACCTGCTAGGATTACCTTCAGCACCTCACTGCCAGAGGGAGCTGGATCGTTTTCTCCTCTCCATTAACCCATAATTAATTTTAAAGCCAAATGTGAGGACAAGAGAGAGTTTGCTGTGCCCAGTTCCACGTGTGCTGGTGGACAAGGTCAATACTGTCACTTTGGGTTAAAGAGAAAGAAATTGATGCTAACACTACTGACATAAGCTGCAAGACAAAAGTGGGGGCAGAACAGACTATACCACAAGACAGGGGCTCCATACTTGGCACTCTCAGTAGTCACTGGCTGGTCATGCAATTTCTGAACAGGTCTGGGTCTGGAGGCAGAAGAGACCACGGGCTCCTGGGAAGAGTCGGGGCTCTCACTCGACTTGCTGGACTGGTTGTCTGTCTCCATTACCAGTTTGCTTATGGTGAACAAGCGTTTGCCCTTATGGGGTATTTCAGGAGGGTCTGAGATCTCAGAATCTTGATTCTCCACTTCTTGCCGTCTCTTGGTTCTGTGGGATACAGAAGGAGACAGTTGCTTGGGGAAGGTAAAGTCTGTTTCGTCCAGTTTGGTGAAGAGTGCATCAGAGTCCTGGGAGTCCGACAGGATCTTGAAAGCTTCTCTCAGAACAGAAATCCCACACGAGGTTACAGCTCCGGGGGGCTGCCTACAAAATAAACACAACCGAGCAGGTTGTAGAGAAACCACCACGGGAGCTCTGCTGCCCCGAAATCTGGCCTCTCCCTCCGCTGGGACCCCCAACACCTGCCCTATGGACTCCAAGGAAGAGGAATTCCCAACCCGCCTGTCCGGCCTCCTAAACAGTGCAGTGTCCCAGGAAGCAGGTTTGAAGAACACATGTCCATGCTCCATTGCTGCCCTCCTATTCCCAAGCGCTGAACCACAGGGATTCCAGCTCTGCTCCACGGGAGCAAACCTTCCGTAGCCACTGCCCCCCTCCCTGGTCACAACAGCAACCAAACCACCTCAACACTTTTCCTGGGATCCGCAGTCCTGCACCAACACCTTTAGGCTGGCCTGGCTGGCATCTGGGGAGTTAGGAGCTGCCTGGACACAGGGGATTATCCCACGGAAGAGAACTGTGGCCACACTTCATCCACAGTCCAGGGGCAGACTCCCCTGCCCACCTTTCTGCGTCCCTGGTGGACACTCCTGGGAGTTCTGCAGTTACTGCCGCTGGTTCTTTAGCTATATTCACAGGCTCTGGAGTATCCTTCAGGACATCAGGCTCTGCTGTTAAATGATCAGGAGTTGCTGCTGGGTCAGTGGCTACTTCCATAGGTTCTGGAGCTGCTGCAGGGTCACTGCCTCCTTCCATGGCCTCTGGAGCCACTGAGGGATGTGCTGCCCTTTCTGCAGGGCTGGCAGCTCCCTCTGGCTCTTCTGCTGCTCCTGCAGACTCTGGGGCTCCAGTGGGACCCTCTGCCCTTCCCGAGGCCTCTGGAGTTGCTGTCTGGTCCTTTGGCCCATCTGCAGACCTGGGAGTCACCGACAAGGATTTTGGTTCATTGGTGTGTTCCAAATTCAAAGTCTTTTTCATTACCTTGGAGAGAGAAAAAGCACAGCACTGTTATAGAGGTGATTCCTCATGCTCCGATCCCATTTTATCCCCTCCCAAAGGCATTTCACGGATAGAAAAACATGTTCAACCATATAAATCTTTTAGGGATGGACTGAATTTAAAGTATTCTGGATTTAACTCTCTGCTAATTGGGCACCTCAGCTCGAGGGGACTGGGGTGGACACGCACTGTCAGCAGCAGCGGCTCCGAGTCGTCCACATAGATCTTCAGGAACTCAAACATGCTCTGCTGGAAGTCCTTGTAGGAGAAGTTTTTGACCTTTGGATGAGAGAGATTCTTCTCCCGGATGACAGCCAGCCACTCGTTCCTCTTTTTCTAGGGGAGGGAAGCGTAGAATCCAGTAAGAACACTGCACAGGGACAAGGGGAACAATGACAATCACAGCAAGGATCTGGGCCTTTCCTGCTTTCCTGCCTTTCTCCAGGCACAACCAATTTACACTGCAATGAGGCTGGGAAAAGGCCAGAGGAACAGAAAAAGAAACAGCAGAGCCACCCTGTTTCAGGAATTCTCCTTGCCTCCAGTGCCCAAGCACCCCAGTGCCTGCAGAAACAGGAATGGGAACTCCTGCTGCCCCCAGAACCAGCTCTAGATGCAAGTTTGAGGCTCATCAAGGGATAAATGGGGATGCTTTGAAGACCCATGGAGGAAAAATGAGTCACAGAGGGGGCTCCAAGGTGATAGCCTAAATGTGCAACACTGAGGGTCCATCACTCCAGGAGGACTGCTTCCATTTTGGCATCCTCACCACAGGGCACATCAGATCCCCCCAAACACCACCCAGGATACATCAGGCAACCCCCACTTTATTCGAACACATACTCACCTGGTTCTTGGGATCCTTCCCCATGTGCCTCTTGACAATTTTGGAAGCTTTATCAAACTCTTTGTTTTTGATGCAGACAATAACAGCCTGCAGAGGAAAACAAGGACAGTTTGGAGCAGGGCACAGGAAACAGCTCAGAACCAACTTACACATCACTGTGGACACGAGTTTGCAGCTAACGAGGGAATCCCACATGTTAAGGAAGCTCCCACCACCATCCACACAGGACTTTTCCAAGGCAAAAGCTGCACAAAGCATTTCTTGAGGAAGAAAAAGTTCTTACAGCTTCCTTAACCATTTTCTGCACAGTCTCCATCGTCTTCTCCGGCATGGAGAATTCCTTGTGGACGAGCTCTAGGACAGCGAGGGCCGACTCAAGCGGGGTCAGCTCTGACTCCTTGTCGAAGGTGCAATCTACAAGAATTGTCATCCAGGGGGTTGGGGAGGGCTGACGGTGTTTCCCTGCAGAGAGCTGGTTATACACCTGCCCAGGTGGGAGCTCTACACCTGCACAGGCCGCTTACAAATTCCAGGGCTACTGAGGCTGAAGATGAGGCACTGCCCAGTATCTGAACAGCAATCTTCCCCTGCCTCAAGGGGGATATTCCCCAAGCCATGGAAAGCTCCAGAAGCACCACCTGAGAACTTCCCAGGTGCCCAGCACTGACCCATGAGAGCATTTTGGAAGCTCCAAAGCGGAGCAGGAGTCAACAGGCTGGTGTGCGTGGACACCAGGCCAGCCCTGGAGCACCACGGATGCTGCTCTTGGCCCCAGCAGCGAGACACAGGCACAAACAGCCGCCCCTTACCCCCAGGGAGAGCCCCCACAGCCCCACAGGCTCAGGGCAGCGCAGGGGCATAGACACAGCCCCGAGCTCTGCCCTGCACAGGGACACTGCTCCGGGAGCCGCAGGGGCACGGACACAGCCCAGGGCACGCAGCGGGGCTCGCGGGAAAGGCCGGGCACCTACCGAGGTTCTCGCCCTCCTCGATCCGCGACAGCAGCTGCATTATCCGCAGCATCTGGGCCACCGCCGGCTCCTTGTCCAGGGGTCGCACGAGCAGCGCTGCAGGACGAGAGGCAGGTGAGGACGGTGCAGCGCGATCCGGCCGCCCCGCGCCCCCCGCCCGGGCCGGCCCCGCCCCCCGCACCCTGCATGATATCGCGGAGCTGGCGGAATTCGCGGTGGCGCCCGGAGCGATAGGCCTCCATGGCGCGGTGGAAGTAGAATTGCAGGACCCAGCCGTTCACGGTCTCCTCGCGCAGCGCCGCCATCCCGGGCGGGCCCGGGAACTGCTCCCGCCGTGCCGCCCGCCCCCGCCGCGCCGCCATCCCGCCGGGAACTGACGCACCGGACGTGCGACCACCAGCACCGCCTACAGGTCCCGGCGCACACCGCGCCAGCACAGCCTACAGCTCCCGGCGTGCACCGCGCCGGCCACGCGGGAAGGGCAGGGCGCCCTCCAGTGGGCGGGAAGGGAACTGCGGGAAGGGACACGGCTGTGCCCGTGTCCTGGGCTCAGGAATGTCCCACTGCCCACCCAGCAGGATCGACAGCAGGCAAGTGCCCACCTGTAAGTGCTGAGACCCCCAAGTGAGCCTCACGTGGCCAGGCCCAGGTGTGTTAAATTCGTGTCACCAGAGCAGCCAGTGCCACCCTGCTGGCACGGACACGGGGAGCAGGGCCAGGTGCGTTCTGAAGGGTGGGCCATCCCTATGGAGCTGCTGCTCGGCATTCCCGCCAGGAACGGGGACAGACACTGCACTGGCTGCACCTCAGGGCAGGGGACAGGGAGCACCACACCTGACCTGGGATGTTACAGCTTGAGCCAGACCTTCATTGGTAAACGTGGCAGAACCCTCCAAGTGTTATACAGAAATTGTTATTTTGTACTTTTATTTGGGGTTTTCCCTTTATTCTGGTCTTTCAAACAGCAGGGATGTTCCCACAAATTCCTGTTCCCTGTGCTCCAGCCACCTGTCAATCCCACTCCCCTCACCTGGCACAGCAAACCAGGTCCCTGGGGCAGGATTTTGGGGCAGAGACCATCCCACAGTCTCTCAGAGTTTGGGTAATGAATCAGAAGTCCTATTTTCACAGTGATCCCACTGAGTGATTCCCAAGCAGAATCGGTGCCTGCAGGCGAAGGTTTTGGCAAGAAAATCCTTGGGATTACAGGGTAGTTCTCTGCAACTCTGGGGTGTCTTCTTGGCCCCAGGAATATCCCTGACACTGTCCTGGGGGCTCTCACCTGAGGTGGAAAAGCACGTGAAAATTCCTCTGGCATGAGGTGATCTGGGATCCTCCCTTCCCTCCGCCCTGGCCAGGGGAGGAGGAAACGGACACAGGGAAAAATCCATGTGTCAGATGGAAAACTGTAAAACTGGGAGGGATTTTTATTGGCAAACAAAGGGAGGTAAAAATAATTACTGGGAGGCAGAAGGGTCACCTGGGGTGGGGTGGCTGCCCTGGGGAGTGAAGCTGGAGCTTCACATGTCCCAGCTGAACTCAGAATGTGGTGAAGGGTGTTCAGAAGGATGTGGGAGCAATACCCACAGCACCTTCCTGGGCTGAGGGGAGGTGACAGCACTGTGCTTTGGGTCAAATGGTTTTCCATGTGGATTTGTCATGGGCAAAGTGGGTTTGCTCTTTCTCTGTCACAAGATGCAGGAGGAGGTGACAGAGGCCTGCCTGGGCCAATGGTGTGTTAACAGAACCCAGGAGTGGAAAACCAGCCTGGAATGGTGAATTCCAGAGTAAATAAACCCACTGGTTTGCTCCCTGAATCTTCTACAATGAAAGAAAAGGAAGCAGGGATGATGGAAGTGGACCTGGAATGCAAGGGGCCTCACTGTTCAGTTTTACAAATCCTCCCGCAGTGTCATCATCACTTTTTCAGGAAAAGTTTTGGAGTTTCACATGCCAAACAAAACACTGGGCAGGAAAGCACAAATTGCAGCCATGCTTGTGCATTTGAGCCTTCCCTCACTGATTTATGGCCTTTGATTAAGTGATTACAGATGAAAGAAAACTTTCCAGGGAACAGGATCTGCACGTTGCCGCGGTCTCGTGCCTGTCACATCCTTCTGGATGAGTTACAGTGGGAAACAGGACAGGAAAATCATGGGGCCCTGGTCACCGTGCTCTGCTCTCGCTGTGCTGGAGCTCCAAGCAGGACAGCAGCCCCTGCCCCCAAGGTTTTGCTCTCCACAGACACGGCACATCTCGGACCTGTGTCTGGGCCTGGTGGTGGGGAGGGAGAGCAGGGCCAGAGTTCTGGTCCCAGTGAATCCATAGAGAGCTCCTTGGGTACCACCATCATTAACTGTGCCACTGCTGTGCCTGGAAAGCCAGGATGCAGGAGCAAACCAGCTACTGTACCCAGGGGGGTGAGGCCCTGGCACAGCTTGCCAAGAGAAGCTGTGGCACCACTGGAGCCATTTCTTTCCCTCCAAAAATATAAAATACCTTTCTCTCCAACTAAAGTGACCTGGCAGGCTTGTGACACACAGCCTGGACCTGCAGGCAGCCACCCTGTCTTTGTACAGGATGTGGACACACAGCATGGATAGGGAAACATCCTGGAGCTGCCACATCTGAACTGCAGCATTAGGGATGTCTCATTCCCACAGAGATCCCAGCTCAGTGGCAGCAGGTACAGGCACTTCACTTGAGCTCCCTTTAAAATCCAGAGGGATTTTAGCAGCCTGCCCAGCAGGGAGCCCATCAGACTCTCCCTGCACACACCTTTAGCCAGTGCTGGTCAGAGTTTAGCATTGACAACTCAGTGTTTCTGCCTCCTCAGCAGTTGTTGAACAAACACCCACTGCTCAGCCTTGTACCTGTGCTGCAAGGGCAAGGAAATAAATTCCACAAATGCCAGTTCATAAAGGAAAACCACTAGGCTCACAAGTTACTCGGGTCCCTGAGCCTGTTCAAAGTGGTTGGAGGGAGAATTGTTCAGCACCTCACATCAGACCTGCATGTGAACTTTGCTTTAGAAACTGGTAAAAATCAGGAGCTGTAGATGTATTGCTCCTCCACTGGCTCAGTTTAAAGACTCGTGAGATGACATCTGTTTTATACACACACAAGAAGAACCAAAACAAAAGGAGCAGTGGAAAAGCTGTTCCCACGGGAATCCGAACCCTATCAGAGGAGAGCTACGGCTCTGCCAGGGGACCCTGGCAGGTAATTCCTGCCAGCACACATCACATACACTGATCAAACAGCCGCTGCCGGTGTCCCCGCACCTGCTGCAGGTGGCTTGAACTGATCCTTGGGCAGAGCCACCCCGGCCTCCCCGCCCCGGAGACTGTCCGAGGATCGGCTGCGGGAGGGACCTGCGGCTCGGGCGGCCCCCGGCAGGATCAGAGGCTTCCCAAGGGATCCCGAGCTCCCTTCACCCGCCCCAGGCCGGAAGGGGGGAGTTACCAGAGGCTGGGGCGGACCGCAGGCACCGCTGCGGGCGGGCTGCCGATAGCACCGCGCTCTCCGGCGGCACGGGAGCGGCAGGGCGGCTCGAAGCCGGTACCGGGGAGCCGGGGCTTAGTGTCCCGTCCAGGAGCGCCGCGACCGCTCCCGTCGTCTGAGGCGCGGCTCGCGCGGCGTTTCCCGCCCTTCGCCGCGGCCGCTCCCCATTGGCCTGCGCCCGCCGTCGCGCGTTCCCATTGGCTGCGCAGGCAGCGCCCCCATAGCGTTCGCTCCCCATTGGCCGCCGGGCGCGGCTGGAGCTGCGTGAGTGGTCGCCATCGCTACGGCGGCCGGCGCGGGCCAGGTCGCGCGTTCCGCGCAGGGCCGCCGGGCAGCATGGAGGGCGGGCGGCGCGGGGAGGCCGCGGCGGCGGGAGGGGACGGGCCCGGGCCCGTGTTCACCCTGGAGGAGGTGGGGAAGCGCAGCTCCAGCCGCGAGGCCTGGCTGGTGATCCATGGGCGCGTCTACGATGTCACCCGGTTCCTGGAGGAGGTGAGGCCCCGCGCGGGGCGGGGTGGTTCCCGGCCCCTCGGGGGACTGAGGGGGCTGAGGGGAGCGGGGGGGACAAGGGGGGCCGAGAGGGAAGGGGGCGGGCTGGGGCTGCGGGGGGTGAGGGAGGGGGGGCTGAGGTCTCGGGCTGGGGGTGCAAGGGAAGGGGGCCCCGCCCGGGGGGTTCCGGTGTCCCCGAGGCAGTGCCCGGCCCCGGCTGTGGGGTCCCTGCGCTGCCCCGGGACGGGCCACAAGCCCCCACGGGCACGGGGGTGAGGGCGAGCCACGGCGGCCGAGCCCGGCCGGGGGCTGGCGTTGTGCTGCTGCTCCTCTGAGGCAATCCCGGGTTTCTCAGGAAATCTGTCGGAGCACCTCACGGGGAGATGCAGCCCCCCTCCAGCCACTCCACGTCTTGTGGGGTGAACAGGATCGGGGCACATCAGTAGTTTAGGTGTGGAGTCTGTAGGGACGCCCCAGAACTGGAAGGAGAAGGGGATGGTGATGCAGCAGCCACTACCTGGAGGGGACCACGCACCAGGGATTTGGAATAAATGCAGCCTCTGCCAAATCTCCAGTTCCTTTGGATATGGGAACAAAAATTTGTTGTAGACTTGATCACAGAATCCCAGACTGGTTTGGGTTGGGAGGGACCTCAAAGCGCATCTGGTCCCACCCCCACAGGCATGAACACCTTCCACTATCCCAGGGTGCTCCAAGCCCTGTCCAACCTGGCCTTGGACACTTCCAGGGATGGGGCAGCCACAGCTTCTCTGGGCAACCTGTGCCAGGGCCTCATCACCCTCACAGGGAAGATTTTTTTCCTAATATTATCTTAATATTCCTAAAGAATATTTTCCTAATATTTTTGATGCTGTTGACTTCTGTTTTTGAGATGGTTGAGAGTGGTATCCTGAGTTCTGGGAGCTGGAAATAGAGTGGAAAGAAACGGTAGCAAAATTTCAAAGGGTTTTTATCACAGCTTAAAGTAACAGCAAACACTTTGTGGCATCTGCAGGGCAATGTACAAAGGTTGAGCTGAAGACACTTCATTGAAATGCACATGTTCCAGCTTGTTGGTTCTGCTGGTCTAGATTAAACTCTTGATTTCCCTCTGGGTATGTGTGGTTGAAGCCTGTCTGTGGTGGAGTCACAGCATGTGGTGACAGAGCTGCCTCCTGAGGGGTGGAGGTGCAGCAGGCAGGAGGGAGGGATCACCTGGCACCTAGAGTCTGTGCCTTGCTGTGCACCTCTCAGTATTTATTTATAAAGTTGGACACAATCTCGTTTGTTCTTTCGGCACTGAGTGCCACATCCAGTCGTTCCTCGGGCACCTCCAGGGATGGGGACTCCACCACCTCCCTGGGC